GAGTGGTTTGACATGAATTCATGGCCACAAACCACTAATGGGTTCTGAGTGCTCCAGGCCCTTGGTCCTCATCTTTCATTCTCAAAGACATTTCCCTTCTCCCTTCCTCTGCAAATCTCCATTACCTCATCCCCGGTACCCATGCTCGGACAGGAGCTGTCCCAGTTTGCCTCTCTGTCGCTCTGATGAGACACTGACCTGAGGAGGGGGTGGTTTGTTAGGTCTTACAGGGCACAGCCATTATCAAGAGAAGCCCAAGGCAGAGCCCAAGGCAGCAGCCTGGAGGCAGAACTGAGGTCCTGGAGGAACCTGCTTACTGGCTTGTTCCCTCTGGTGTGCTTAGCCTGCTCCCTTACACAACACAGGCCCACCTGCCTAGGGATGGTACCCCCCACAGTAGGCTGGTCCCTCACACCTCAACCATCAATCAAGAAAACGCCCACAGACTAGTCGGATGGAGTCAATCCTTCAGCTGAGGTTCCTTCTTCCCAAGCGACAAAAAATAACCAGCACAGAAACTTTCCAGGGCATGGGAAAGCAGCCCCGAAGGGACCCTCCATCATATGCTACCACACAAGCGCACACAGTTGTTCTGGACCGACCATGCCAGCTCAGCCTTCCCTTGGGTTCCCCCAGACAAACCAGCCAGGGTCCCCAAGAAGCAAGCTCTGATGCACGCCTTGGGTCCCTCCCCTTCTCATCCAAGGTTTCAGCTCAGCATCTCTTCCTCTTCTACATTGCCCACTTTCCAGTTTTGACTCGGTTCTTCCCTCTAGCACACTCGATTTCTCCCACTGGGGACAAGAGGCGCTGTGACATTGTTTCCGTCATCCCTTCCCATGTCTCTTGACGGCCCCCACAGCAGCTGCCCCCCCCCCCAAGTCAGCGGCGGTCCCCATGCTGACAAAGCCCATGGACAGGTTCGGCCCTCTTCTTTCCAGCAGTTGCCCTTGACCCTGGTCTCTGTGGGCTCAGGTACCTGGGCTCAGCCCGCGCCTGGTACATTTGGGCTACTGGTAAGAACAACTGTCAACCACATGGTCAGGAAGCAGAGTAGAAAGGGGCCCGGGCAAGACGGAGTCCCAATGACACAGCTCTACTTCTTTCTTCTCCAGCGAGGCCCTCACCTCCCCTTCACCACTTCCCACCTATGAGTCAGTCACGGAATCAAATTATCCATTAGGTGAGAGTCCTTATGATCTCATGGTCTCTGGAAACTCCCATACACACACGCAGAGGTGAGCTTTACTAATTGACCAAGTCTTTATCGATCCAATCAAGCTGCCAATCAAATTAACCATGGCGTCTTGCTTCCAATTAAATGAGTGTGGCATTTAGCACAGGGCCTGGCATATTCTGGGAACTCTTCCAAATCCGTCTACTATGGATTCTAGACCCTTGGGGCATAATGGATTAGGACTTTCCTATCACGACACTTGGGCTCCAATGGGGGAGGGGAACAGATGATAAAAAGTGGAGCCTAATACACACAAGTCACATGATGGGAAGTACCACGGAGGTAAATGAAGCAGGTGAGAGTCGCAAAGCCTTCTGGGTCTAGGGGTGGGAGAAGGCCTCTCTAAGCAGGGCGTGCTGAGTGAGGAGTGAGTGCCAAGGGGGAGGTTCTTCCTAAAGGAACACAAAGGTACTCTGGGGTGCCCGGGAGTATGGGGTGTTGGGAGAACACAAGGAGTGGGTGCCCCGCAGTAAAGCGAGTAAACATGGTGAACAGCGCTGGTTGGTCGGTGCATGGGCCATGGCTACCAGAGTTAGAATGGGCTTTATTAGAGAGAAGAGGGGACAGGAGGGAGAAGCCAGGCCTGGGGGAGGGAACAGAGCAGAGACAGAGAGAGGAAGCACAGGAAGAGAAGCACAGAGAGAGAGGAGAGCGTGGGGGTCTGCTGTGGGATGTTCTGTATGGCAAATGTGTTGCTGATTGGTCAATAAATAAATCACTGATTGGCCATTGGCTAGGCAGGAAGTGTAGGCGGGACAAGGAGGAGAATAAAGCTGGGAAGTGGAAGGCTGAGTCAGAGAGACACTGCCAGCCGCCACGATGAGAAACAGCATGTGAAGATGCCAGTAAGCCACGAGCCATGTGGCAAGGTATAGATTAATGGAAATGGATTAATTTAAGCTGTAAGAACAGTTAGCAAGAAGCCTGCCACGGCCATACAGTTTGTAACCAATATAAGTCTCTGTGTTTACTTGGTCGGGTCTGAGCAGCTCTGGGACTGGCAGGTGAGAGAGATTTGTCCTGACTGTGGGGCAGGCAGGAAAACTCTAGCTACAGGGGTCCGTGTTGGCTTTTTAAGGCGTGGTTGCCTGCTGATGATGTAAGGCGCCAGACAAGACACCCCCCCCCCAGCTGTGCACGCACAGAATCCTAACACATGGGCCAGGGGGCACCAGCATTCGATGGCATGGTGGGGGAGGGGGGCATAAAGGAAGATCTTCCCCAGAGTAAACGAGCCCTCAAAGCTGGAGGAAAATTAGGCAAAGCAGAATTACAAGAGAAGAGGAGACAGAAGGTTCTGAGTGTACTGCGGGAGGATGGCAGTGAGCACCCACAGAGGAGTGACCGGAGGGGCTGGGGTGTAAAATCACATTTTGAATGGACCCTCACAGGCTCCCCTTTGACGGATCTCCCGGTAGCTGGTGCTGTTTGGGGAGGAGGGTCTGACTAGAGTAAGTCCCTGGGGGTGTGCTTCTGAAGGTCACAGTTAGACCTGGCGGCTTCCTCCTGCACGTCTGCCTGCCACCGTGATATTTAGCCTTACCTCGGGTCCAAAGCAACGGACCCAGCTGGCCAGGGGCTGAAGCCTCTGGAACTGTGATCCCAGGGTGACAGAAGGCTAATATCACTCATAGGTGGAGACTGGCGTGGGCCACTGCATACAGAGCCTTGGGTTGAGATGACGCAAGGCCCGTGTGCTGAGAGCATGCTCCCTTCCCAAGGTGGCACTATAAGGTGGTGATGGGACCTTCCGAGGTGGGCCTTCCAGGAAGTCTTTATGCCACTGAGGATTTGACCCGGAAGGGGTCTCAAGACCTGTAGTGTCTTCTTCTCTTGGCTTTGTTCAGCTATACACTACAATGTACTATGTCACCACGGGCCCGTAACAGCAGGGCCAGTACGAACACCTCTAAAACTGTGAACCAAAATAACAATTTGCTTTTTATAAGTTGATTATCCCAAGTATTGTGGTATGGTGACAGAAAGCTGGCTAATACAACTCATTGGACGCAGATGCTGTCCTATACCATGGGCCCTAGAAGTAAGACATCGCTGAGGAAACCTTGAAGTGGCTGATACTATTCTCATTGACAGGAACTCAAAATAGGGATGAAATTAAGTTTTGGGGACTAGGGTACATCCTACAGACCGAAATCCATACTTGCCACAGTACCCCTGGGGCATGTAAACAAGGCACAACATGAAGTGCGTTTTTTTTTTTTTTTTTTTTTTGGTTTTTCGAGACAGGGTTTCTCTGTGTAGCTTTTGCGCCTTTCCTGGGACTCACTTGGTAGCCCAGGCTGGCCTCGAACTCACAGAGATCCGCCTGGCTCTGCCTCCCGAGTGCTGGGATTAAAGGCGTGCGCCACCACCGCCTGGCTGAAGTGCGTTTTTGCTCCCAGATGTCGATGTGTTTTTCTCAGAAGATTCTTGAAAAAAACAGAACTGGAAAGAATAGCCTGAAGTGGAGATTTCTGCTCACCCCCCAAAGAGTCTCTAATTCTACTTCAAAGAATTGAAATGACCGAGTGCTTTAAGACAGACAGACGGATCTCAATGACAGTTTGCTCTCACACCCCAGCAATGAGCCCATCTTGGTAAAAGAGCCCAGAAATTATTCACACTGCTCCAAAGCTCTGGCAAGAAACCAGATCCCAGGAATGGGGACTGCCGTGAATTTCATTGGCCCTGCAGCAACAGCGGCCTCACAGACAGTAACCAGGCCGGGTTTCCTTTGAAGATTGGAGGGGGCCAAATTTAGGCCTGGGAGGTCCCTCTGCAGGGGTTTCTCACCTGTAGCCACTAGTCTCCACGCTTCACCATCCATGTAGGAAGCAAAGGAAACCATCTCCTTTGAGGGTTCAGGCTGACAAAGCGAGTTTACTTAATTAGCTTTAAACGCAGTGATGGGCAAGAGCGTTTCAGCCCGTCAAACACCCTGAGTGCCCGTAGAGCGATCAGGACAGGGCAGGCCCAATGCGAGCCACTGGGAAGAGCAGGGGGCTGGGACGTCGCAAATGCCTAGCCAGATTTGGACAGACTCCAGTTTCTGTTTCTTTGAACTTTTTTGGAGTCGCAGGGAACGGCAAGGGGGACAATTTCTGACATATCTCAGGATTTGAAATCCCGATGACCTCACCACCTCCACACTGGAACTGCTTTTTATTCAAAGGACCTTTCTTGTTTGTCTCCCTGCCCCCCTCAGCCCCAGCCCCTCCACCCCCATGGGGTGGGGAAGGATGAACTGCAGAATGAATCTTCTGGTTTTCCTCTTCAGGATGGAGAGAATCATTGACTTTAGTTACAAAGGTGAAGGAGAGACTGAGATGGATTGAAAACCTTCTACAAGGGGCTGTTGGCCCTTTGAGAGAGCATACGAAAAAGGGAGAGCGCCCTCTGATTACAGCTCACACTGAAGGGTCTCTAGTTGCTGCTGTTAGATCTTTTCTAGACTCCCAGAAATAACAATCGCACACGTAACCCAACTAAGAAAAGACGGGAGGTCATCTTTGGCTTGATGTGTGCTTGTTAGGAACAAAATTAATGGTACCACAGCCTTGAAGGGCAGCCAGGGTCAGGTCACTTAGGTGCTGTGGCTCATTTTGGAGAATCATTGGGATTGTCGCATCTTGAGAGGACCAGCCAACGTCTTAAATTCCATTTGGATGAAAACCAGAAGCCATTAGACATGCTGATCACATATGCATTTCAGAGTTGCTAGTTGAGAGTGCAGCCCACATGCTGAGCCCAGCCGCAGCGGCCACAAAGGCTCCCTGCAGGAGAGTCAAAGCCCCCTGGATCTGTTGAAGGCTGTTGGGCACAGCTAATCAGACCCACCCAGAGCCGGGGCTCGGTTAGAAAGAGAGGCTAGAAGTCGATCTATCAACCAGCGTGGGTAAGAAAGGATGGGGTCTCAGATGGGGACTCACGAGAGGGCACTGTTAACAGAAATGAGGGGACAGACAAGACGAAGTCAAAGGGGAAAAAGAAAAGAAGCAACTCCAGGAAATTCAAGGTCAAAACCGAATGATGAAATGGAGGTGAAACCATCCATCACACACTGCACAAATAAGGGGTGTGTGTGTGTGTGTGTGTGTGTGTGTGTGTGTGTGTGTGTGTGCACATGTGGAGAACAGAGGTCGATGCGGAGTGTCTTTTTCAGTTTCTCTTGACCCAGTTTTCTGAGACTAGGTCTCCAGTGGAACCTGCAGCTCACTGATCTGCAGTGATCCCAGGGATCCTCCTGCCTCTGCATTCCCAACTCTGAGATTACAGGCACATGACCACCACATACAGCTTTTTTTGTGGGTGCTTGGATCTGGATTCAGCTCCTCATGCTTGTACAACAAGCACTTAACATGCCGAGCCATCCTCCCAGCCCCTGGTGTTTATACTTCATTTTCAATCTCCTCCGACTCAAATTGCCACTACTGGACGGACACAAAGATCCCCAGTGTCCAGAGCAGTGGTCCCACTGTGGTCTTCGATGAGTGGCTAGAGATAAAAATAAAATACCCTGGGTCTCAGAGAAGAAATGAATTCTAGTTCAGAGGATTAGCAAAGGCTTGGGGGGAAAAGATGGCATCTGAGTCGGATTTGGGGGCTGGTAGGATGTTGGTGGTCAGAGGCGGACGGCCAGCATGTGGGTCGGGAGAGAGGACACTGAACAGGATGCTGACTGGACACTGTCCACAGGTGCAGTGAGAGGTGAGTGACCCAGAGGGTGGAACCTGAGCCTTGGGAGAAGCCGGGAGGGGCAGAGTGTAAACAGTGAGGAACGCTCACTGTCACTGCCATAATGTTCAGGTACCTCTGCCATTTCGAGGTGCGGGAAGTTGCGGGGTGAAAGGGTATTTGAATGCATGAGGCAGAAATTTGGAAGAATGGTCTGTGTTAGAGACACAGCCTGGGGGATCATGAGCGTTGTGGTAGTATTTAAAACAAGACGAGAGGAGAAGGCCAAGGGGAGGAGTGCAAACAGAGGCCCAGCAATAGGAACGGAGCATGCTCCGAGGGTGTGAGGTCTGGGAGAAGGGGAGGAGTCAGCAAAGGGGGCTGATAAAAGGGTGCTGGCAAGACGGAAAGGAAATGGGGAGTGGAGTGTGTGGAGAGGGAGGTGAAGAGGTCTATCAAGGGCCTGATTGACTCTGTCTTCGTTACTTTTCTGTTGCTGTGGTAAAACACCAGGACTAAGATTCTTACAGAAGGAAGAATTCGCTTCCCTTATGGTTCCAGAGGGTTAGAGTCTGTGGTGGTTTGAAAGGAAATGGCCCCCAAAAGGAGTGGCACTATTAGGAGGTGTGGCCTTGTTGGAGTAGGTGTGGTCTTGTTAGAGGAAGTGTGTCACTGTAGAGGCGGGTCTTGAGGGCTCCTATTTGCTCAAGATACAGCCCACTGTCTCAATTCACTTCCTGTTGCCTGCAAGATGTAGAACTCAATTGCCTCTCCAGCACCACATCTGTCTGCACACCATGTCCCACCATGATGATAAGGGATTGAACCATGGTCAATCTGGAGAGACGGCTCAGTGGTTAAGAGCACAGGCTGCTCTTCCGGGGGACCTGGGTTCAATTCCCAGCACTCACGTGACCTGTCTGTAACCCCAGTTCTAGGGTTTCTGACACCCTCACACAGACAAAACACCAATAAACATAAAATACATTAAAAAGAAGAAAGAGTTGCCATGGTCACGGTGTCTCTTCACAGCAATAGAAACCATAACCAAGAGTCCATCACGACAGGGAAGTATGACAGCAAGCCACAGACAGGTTGGCCGGAGCAGAAGCTGAGAGTTCACACACTGAGGCAGAGAGGCACACAGGAAATGGTACCAGTCTTTTGAAACCTCAAAGCCCACGCCCAGTCATATACCTCCTCCAACAAGGCTACCTTCCCAAACAATTCCACCAACTGGGTCCAAGTATTCAAATATGAGATTATGGGTCCCATTTCACTCAAACTACCACAATGACTGGTGTGTCAAGTCAGGTGGGCTTAAGAACTGATGAAGGATGCTCAGTGTAAGGCCTGTTGGTACCCAGGGAAGAGCCGCTTGGTGCAGGCAAGTTGGGGTGGGGGAGGTGGGGGTGAGTGGAGGAGTACGGATGACGGGGGGGGGACGGGGGGGGACAGGACGGGACACACCTGGTTACAATGGATTGGAGAGACTAACTATAGCTAATCTTTTTTTTCTATCTATCTGTCTGTCTATATATCATCTATATGTCTATCATCTGTCTATCATCTATCTGTCTTTCATCTGTCTGTCTATCATCTATCAATCAATCAATCGTCTATCTGTCTGTATCTATCTATCTATCTAATTTATTATCATCTATTTACCTACTTACTTATGTTGAGACCTGGCTTCCTTGAGTAGCCCTGCCTAGCTCAGAACTCAATATATAGCCCAGACGAGCTTTAAAACCTCAGCCCTCAGCCTCTGCTTCCCCAGCGCTCCAATTACCAGCACGCACCACCATTCTGTCTGGCCCCATTTGGTTTCTTTTAAGGAGTTCTGCTGTAAGTTGCATGGTTTGGTTTGAATGTGTTGTCCCCTTTCTGAATTCATGGGCTGGAAATTTAACCCCCCAATTGATATGTTAATGGTGTTTGGAGGTCCAGCCTTTGGGAGCTAATTAGGATTGCATGAGGTAATGAGGGTGGAGGCCTGTGATGGCGGTCCTGGCTTTACAGAACAGGAAGAGCCGCCATGCTCGCACTGTGCTGTGTGATGCTCTCCCCCACATTGTGATGCAGGAAGAGGGCCTTCCCAGATGTCGAGTGAGACTCTATTCTTCATAAATTACCCAGCCTCGGGTACCCTAACAACAGAAAACAGACCGAGGTGGGGTATTAACTAGCAGAACAATTGAAATAGAGAGAGGACATTTTTTTTCTTTTGCTTCTTTTTCTGATATGTGGAAACAATAGCACTTTTATTAGCAGATGGCTGGATCTAGTGGGGAATGAAAAGTTCGTGGAAGATGAGGGGAAGGGAGATTTTTTTTTAAGGAGGCGTGGAGTGGAGAAGGCAGACCGCAGGTCACGGTGCTGGCCTCCTGGGAAGCTCCACCTTCCCTCCCTCCTCTCCGGCCGCCTACACCCTTGTTGCAGCCTCTATTGGCCAGCTTCAGCCCCACCCAGCTGGAGAATCACAAGGGAAAGGGCTGCTGGGTATGGAGTGCATGCTACGAGCCATTCAATAGTTAAGAAGCTGATGGGCTGCCCACGAAACAAACTCCTCATTTTACAAGTGAGGGACCCAAGACAGCTGCAAATATTCTCCCCACTGATCTCTCTGACCCCTCACTAACACCCTCCTCAGTCTGTCACCAGAGTTCATTTCCTTTATCATCTACTTAAAACATACATGCTGGGGCTGGAGAGATGGCTCAGCTGTTCCGAGCACTGGCTGCTCTTCCAGAGGTCCTGGGTTCAATCCCCAGAGTCCGTATGGTGACTCTCAACCATCTCCAGTTCTAGAGGGCCTGGCGCCCTCTTCTGGCCTCCTGGTCACACTAGGCATGCACATACATGCAAGCAAAACACATGTTCTATACATCTATAAATAATACATTTAAAACAGACACGTTCTTAGGATCCAGGACAAAATTCCTAGCAGGACAGAGGTGGCCCTACATTACCAAACCTGACCATGTTGACTGGCCTCTGTTTCTCTCCTTCCAATAGGTCCTTACGCCAATCTATTGTCTTCTCCAAAGAATCCAAGTTCGCCCCCCTACCCTGCATTCCTCGTGTTCTGTAGACCGAAATAAATACACCTGTCACCTCCCTTCCTGGTCCTCCAACTCAAAGGTGTTTCTTTAGGAAGGCTTTGTGGTGAGCCTCATCTCTCCAGTAACCCGAAAAGGTGAGGACCCCCACCCCAAGCCCTTGATCCCCAGTTGTAAGATGGATGGATGTGGATCTGAAGGGGTAAGCCCCCTGTCTGGGTCTTTGATTCCCACCTGTAAGGGGTGTGTGTCCACCTCGTCCACAAGAGTGCAAACACATGCAAATCGGAATTTTTCAACAATCCATACGTTAGAGCCCATTTCTTAGAAAGTGAGCTCCAAGGTTCAGGTTCCTCTTTCATGCAGAATGGAACTGGAAGCCCTTTAGGGCCTGAGGTCCACCTCCGTTCTCTCTGCTATACCACTGTAACAAGAGGTTCTGAAACCGTATTTTATGTCTTGTTCGAAAAATCCTGGGCATAGTTTAACATCATGATCCCTAGTTTTTTTGGTTTTGTTTTGTTTTTTGTTTTTTCGAGACAGCGTTTCTCTGTGTAGCTTTGAGCCTTTCCTGGAACTCACTCTGTAGACCAGGCTGGCCTCGAACTCACAGACATCCATCTGCCTCTGCCTCTCGAGTGCTGGGATTAAAGGTGTGCATCACCACCACCCGGTATGATCCCTGGTTTGAAAAGGATTTTTTATTTACTGCCTCTTCTTTAGCATACAAGAGGTCAGCATCTTTCTCTAGGTGAGCAGATAGTAGGTCAGGCTGGAAAAATAAAAATTGTTGCTAAATATGTTTATTCATCCTGTCAAAAGTAGCTCTTGAATGTCGTCTGCCCTCTGCAGCCTCTATGAGATAAGCATTTGTCTCATTAGCAACGTTTCTGTTGGGGATCTGGCTCAGGGGTCGAGGGCTTGCCTGGCATGCTTGCCAATCCAGACTCCATCTTAGAAAAAAGAATTCTCTCACCCCCTTCTGCTTTATTTTTGTGTATAGATGTCTTCTGGCTGAGGTACACCTCAGAGTGTGTCTACACCGGAGTGAACACAACCAAACAGAAACGGTATTACATTTGAAATCGTGCATTATAGGTAATGATAGAGTGGGCCCCGAAAGCGGTAATTAGCTTACAATGTGCTCCCAGGAAAATACTCAGACACCCTGATTAATGTTCCCTCAAGCAGCCAGCCCCCGTAAGGAGCTACCATTGTACTTCCCAGAACTCACTCTCCCAGGATATTATGATAAATACCACGTTGGGTTGTGCTAAGTGAATAGGTCTGGGTGCGAGAGGGTGGCGAGATGAAAGGGAGATGAAGTCCAAGGGCTTGCTTTTCCTGCTCTGCTAGAAAGGAAGAACCAGCCAGCCATAAGGGGGGAGGGGTGTTTCAGAGTCCAAGGACGCAAGCTGAAGCCCTCCTGGTGCCTGCTCAGTCTGTGAGATTATAAACTGCTGTTCCAAATTGGTTTCTGTGGGGTATGCCAGGAAACTGAACAACAGAAAGAGAAAAGCGGGGTCCCCTTCAGAGCAGCAGAGAAGCACCCTGAACTTCTCTTTGAGACTCTTGGACAACCCTTCCCACAGGATGCGGGATCATAGACTGGCTTGCCTGGGTCTGGCTCCATCCCAGATGAGCTTCTGGACTGTGGTTGCTGACCAGGCCAAGGCAGGACATACAGCTGCAGGCCAGAAGCTTGTGCTCAACTCGGGGATTCTGTGACTCGGGGAGAGAATGGACCAGGAGGGTCTGAGCAGCTCTGAGGGCGAGGACTGTCTACCCCTGTTTCTTTCCTCAGAGCATGTGAGTTGGAAGAGGAGAGTGCTCCCCTGTGGGAAGTGCATGCTGCTGAGTGCTGTGTCAGGGGCTTTATATCCAGGAAGGCTTTGATCTGCTCTGTGGTGGTTGCAGATAAAGATGTCACCTGTCCAACTCTCCAGAGGTAAGGGGGCTGAGGGTGTGATTCAGAGCCTCTGCGTGTCTTCACCACCCAACCCAGCTTCCCCGGAGCCCTGGAAGTACCTGAAGTAGAAAAGCCACCTAGGAGTGGCCGGCTCAGCAGGATAAACTACATCCCCGTGAGTTTCCTATATGGCCCCGCCTCAAAGCAATGTTAGCATTCCATGTCATTTTGGGAAACTGTAAGTGAACATGGTTTGTTTGTTTGTTTGTTTGTTTGTTTAAAGCCATTAATGCCAACCATCACCAAGGAAACTCCTGTAGGCTGGGAGCCTGGGCACGCATGCTGGGAGTGTTTGAAGCGCCCCCCTCTGGCCTGACGGTAGACTGCAGGTGGAGAGGAAGGGGTGCTTCTGTCGGGTGGAGGATAGGTACTGTGTGCCCAAGGTTTCTCACTCCTAGTACCTGCCGATTGGTGTGTAGGAGCCAGAGAGTAGCAGCAAAGCCCAAGGTGCTACTGTCACCCATGAGTCACCAGCGGCTGGGTGCAGGAACAGCGCAGTCAAGAGCCAGGGGAGCTCCTCGGGTGCTTTAGGTCTGAAGGTGCCTCAGGGGAGTGTTCACAGAGATATTACATGAGCTGTGGAGAATGGCAGCATTTCAGTGGGAGCCACCTGCTCGGAGCCTTTATGGCCTCGTGGGAGCCGGCTCTTATTTATGAATGTGCCCCGCCCCCTCCCATATTCAACGACGTGGGCCCACAGTGAGTGCTCAACAAACCCTGTGGGTAGCATGGTTGGAGGAAGAAGCTGTGCGGGGGAACACTGGGAGGTGACTCTGTGTGGCATGCGTTGGGGGAGTCCTGCTCACTAGGTTATTGTGCCCAGGACTTGAAAGTGGAATGGGAGGTTGGGGAGTCAGAGGAGGCTGGGATGCCATCTGCACTAGCTTGAGTATTTATATTCCCCACCAAAACTCATGCGGGGGCTTAGTCCTCACTGTAGCAGTGTTGTGGGGTGGGGGCTGGTGGGTGTGTGGGTCATGTGGGTCAAGACTGGCTGAGTTGCCGTGAGAGACACTTTTGTTCCAGAACAGGTCTAATCCTTGGGTTTTCTCTCCCACACCCATACACTTCCCTTCCCGCTGTGAGTTAGAGCAGCAGAAGTCAGAAGCAGGAAGCCGGAAGCCCTCTTCAGAAGCAGAGAGGATGCGGGTACCACACTGGGATGCTTCCTGGACCCCAGAGCCTCAAGTTCAAATAAACCTCTTGCCCATTCTTAGGCATTCCGTTACTGCAACAGGAACCTGACGAAGGCCCTCCCAACACAGTCAGCATGGCTGGACAGGAGTTGGCAGACAGGAAAAGCGGACTACTGTGGTCAGAGTCGAGTTTCAAGAAAATTAATCTAGCCACATCTAAAATACCATGGATAAGTGCATGACTCAGAAACCAGCTTCAGCTCTTTTTGAGACAGGGTTTCTCTGGGTAGCCCTGGCTGTCCTGGATCTCGTTCTGTAGACCAGGCTGGCCTCGAACTCACAGAGACCCGCCTGCCTCTGCCTCCCGAGTGCTGGCATTAAAAGTGTGCATCGCCACGCCCCAGCTCAGTTTCACTTCTTTGGTGGTCATCTCTTTGCTTGGTAAAGGATGGTTCCTCAGCCAAGCAGAACCGGGTTGTACGGCATGTGGCAGCAGGCTGTGTGGAGCCCTAGGGTGTGCTGATGGAGTAGCCACCCAAGGAGCAGTTCCTCATGCCTGGTGGTGAACCACCCACAGGCAGCCTCCCTGGAGTGGCCCTTCTTACCAGCAGTCCAGTTTCAGGGGGACAGCTTCCAGGCCACCAATCTGACAGTAAGGCTCCAAGTTTGAGAGCTCATACAGCTGTAGTTCCCGGCTCCTGTTCAAGGCAAGCATAGTTGGTGGTGACTGGGAGCTCCTCACTCCATCTCTGGCGAAGTCTTTTAAATCCCACGGATCCCATAAAGAGAAAGCCCCCCAACCAGCGAAAACCCTGCCCTATGGGGCCTGAATCCCAAGGCTTCCTGAAGCTCTGTCTGGAGACTTCTTTTCAGCTGGGTGCTAAGCCTGGCCACACAGCTGGCCCTTCTCCATCAGGGCCTAGCTGCTACAGTTTTCTGCCACCCAGGCTCTGGAGCTCACCTCTGAGTTCCCTTCTCTGAGAACTATGGTCCTAACAATGTCTATATTAGGGATGAGCTGCTGAGACACCATGAGATGATACATGAGAGAATAGTGGGTCCAAAGCCTGGGGACTGTTGAGAAGGATGTCAGGGCATCAGACTTGAAGAGGAGGGGTGAAGGGCTCTTCACTAACTAAAACGTTAACCTGATCTTCCCTCTATGCCCCCTTCCCTAGATCGTTACAACTAGTACCGTGACCGACCCTCCCGCATTTGACCTACCTTGGGAAGCTGAGAGGAGAGCAATTTTGTGAGGGTAACAAAAACAACTGAGAGTTCACACCACTCGCTATTCCAGGCCCTAGGCCTGAGCCTCCTTGTGCTAAATCTCACTTTCTTCCTTTCCTTTCTAACGGTGCAGTTCCAATGTGGTTCCCTGGCCCCTGGTGAAGTCTGCTGTCTCCTCTTTCCACCGGCCAGTTCAGAGTGTTTAATGAGCTACCACATCAGCCTCTGAGCCGTGGTGACACCATGCACAATAAGGTCTTTCTCAAAACTCAAACGGTGGGGGGAGGCCACCATGCCAAGTGAAATGTGCCACAGAGAGAAAAGACAGACATCGTGTGTTCTCGCTGGTGGAGCTGACACACGTGGACCTCACGGAACTGAGCTGGGTCGGGGCCGCTGGAGACTGGGAAGGGCAGTGGAAAAGGGGGTGTGGGGGAGGGTGGAGAGAATTTAAATTAGGAACACTGGACACAAAGAGGAGTAATTCTTATTTTCTCTAGCACTGCAGGGGGGGGTGTAACTATTATTTAAAATAAACTATAATAACTTTCATTTTCTCAGTGACTAGAAATCTCCAACACATAAAAATGATTAACACTTGACTGATGATTAATTGAAGTAAATATTACCACGATTTGCTCATTACACACAGTATCCATATATCAGATTAGTATATTGTATCCAATAAAGGTGTGCAAATGTTATGATTTAAAAAAGGGAAATAGGGGCTGGCAAGATGGCTCAGCTTGATGCTCTCCACGGGTCCTGAGCTCAGTTCCCAGCACCCACATCAAATGGTTCACAGCTACCTGTAACTCCAGTTCCAGTGGCTCTGATGCACCCTTCTGGCCTCCCTGGGTATTGCACTCACATGCATAAACCCGTACACAGAGACAGATACACACACACACACACACACACACACACACACACACACACACACACACACAAATACATACATAAATAAATAAATAAAATTTTTAAAAAAAGATGATAAAAAATAAATATAGTAAAAAATTAAAAAATCGCCGGGCGGTGGTGGCGCACGCCTTTAATCCCAGCACTCGGGAGGCAGAGCCAGGCGGATCTCTGTGAGTTCGAGGCCAGCCTGGGCTACCAAGTGAGTTCCAGGAAAGGCGCAAAGCTACACAGAGAAACCCTGTCTCGAAAAACCAAAAAAAAAAAAAAAAAAAAAAAAAAAAAATTAAAAAATCAAAGCAAGCTGAATTTATCAACTTAAATTTGTTGTTTAGTAGTTAGCATAATACTAAATTGATTATATTAATTATATTGATATTTTAATAAATATATTTTGTGATGATGAACTAATAAATATAGGAAGCATTTAAACAGCATGAGCAATTGTATCTAATAAAATAACTGGGATAGGCTGGGGTTGGGTTAGCTATTAGGTCATGAAAGTGCTTAGAGTAGCTAAGGCCTAGAGCCCCAGTGACATGTGGAAGAGAGTGATGGAGAGGGCTTTGCAGCATGAGGGGCTTGTATGGTAGGCACAGCCCGGAGCTTAGCTGCCTTCAGCTTCCACACTCCTCTGTGATCTTAGTTCACACTCCTGCGGGGGCGGCGGGGGTGGGGGTGGGGGGGGACCTTCAGGACCTCGCTCTGCAGCCTCAGCAGTGACAGCAGCAAGGGCTCCCTTGTTGGCACTGTGGACTTTACCCTTTGACTTCATCCAGTGCAGTCAAGACTCAATTTAGACGGATAAGAAAACAAATACACCATTTAATCCAAATAAAGTGTACTTAAGAAGTACTCAGACGGATCGTCTCCTCGTGTGGCCCTTTCTTGGTTCCAGAAGTATTTCCTACAAGAGGGCATCCTCTGAGCGAATGTGATCACTGCAAGAAGCCACACAAAGTGCATCTCTGCGCAGACATGAGGGTTCTAAGACTTTGGAGACGCTCACTTTAGCCCCACACTGCACATGCATACGTTTGCGTGATCTCAGGCGTGGATATGCATCTCATCAAACCACTCGCTCTGAGTTGCAACTTCCCATACTTACCCAGTCCCGACGATTAGTTTGTTATACTGTGGCATGCTGGCAATGTCTGTCACCCACTGGGACTTCTGACTGGGGGACTTGCCCTACAGGATAGAAGGTGAAAGTAAGCGGATGCACGTGCCTTTTTAAAAGAAATTGCATTTATTTAATATAAATTTATTTTTTTATTGAAAAGATTTTACTTTTGTTTTATGTACATGACTGCTTGCCTACACATATGTATGGCCTCTACATGTGTGCCTGGTGCTCTCAGAGGCCAGAAGAGGGCGTCAGTTCTCCCTGGTCTGGAGTTACAGATGGTTGCGAGATTCCAGGTGGGTGCTGGGAATTGAACTCAGGTCCTCCAAAAGAGCATCCAGTGCTCTTAAATGGCCATTTCTCCAGCCCCTGTAGTTTTCTTTATTGCTTTTCTCCTTCAAGGGGAGGAATATGTTACCTTTGAAGAACTGATCCAGTGCCCTCCCCTGGAAGGGGCTATTCAGCAACCTGAGAGGCTTAACTGTAACTTCCAGTTCTAAGCTGCCGAGGGGCAGAGACAGGGCTTTCCATCCCAACACGCCGGTTTTATCACAGGAGCTCAAATATTTGTTGAATGAGAAGGGCGGTGGGCAGAAATGGGCCGGGCATTCTCTCTTCTAATTACACTTCCCAAATGCACGTGGGCTTCCGAGGTTCTGATCAGCGATTCAGAGGAAAGCCTAGCAGAACTGCCTCGCCACAGGCGGGCATAACCACGAAAGGGGGCGGGACTCAGTTCCATTTGTCATCGAGAAAGGCACGTGATAAATTACATGACAGAAGCATGTGTAATTCATCATTTCATCTGGTGTTAGAAGCAAAACGGAGCATTATCTCGTACTCTCGTGTTTTATTTGCATCCCAGAGACTCAAAAAAATCTGCCACGAATATCTATTCAAGGGCACAATTTGTGTAATCACGCCACTTAAGGAGCAGTTTAAAATAGCAAATAAAATCAAATCGTAGCACTCAGCATCCTTATCAAATGAAAAATCACATACAAAAATTGGCTTTTTTCTTTTCAACTTCAGCTGCGGGGACCAGAAATAAATGGCTCCATCTTCTCGGATGGTGATTAAGGTGTCATCAGGCATAGAGAGGATGCGCAGCACGGGCCTCCCGTAGGACAGCCTCTTCTGTGTGGCAGGCAGGAGGAGGGCAGCCTCTGCCCGCCGAGCCGCGGCCTTGGCTTGCTCCGAGTACTCTAGCTGTAGGTATGTGCAGAAGCCATCCTGGAGAGCAAAGGACAAGCGGTTAAGCCGTGCTGTCTTTGGGGGCTTTCAGAAATTCTCTTTCCTGTCAGGGACTGGATAGAACTCTTTTCTTGGACATTGATATAATTGTTAGCGCACACTGCCAATTTGGGGAGCGGTAACTGTGGGGTGCCTTCAGCTGGTCCTGGAGGTCTGTTATCTGTCTTCCTATACTTTCCCTCCTCCTCGAAGGGTGGTTTGGGGGCGAGGTGGGCATCTCAGCAATGGCGGTGGTTGTTTCTAGCCACGTGCCATGCGTGACCCACACAACATGGGCCTTCACCTCCATTCTCAATAGGAATATAGTTTGTCCCTTTTTACAAGTTGAAAGGCTCAAGCATGGAAAAGTCCAGTGGTTTGCTTAAGAACGAATACCTAAGAAATGGCTGGCCAGGGACTTGCCCCCTATCTGCCCAACTAGACAGTCCACGTACCTCCCTTAGGATCTTAGCAGTATGCCCACAGAAAGATACTTCGCGGCTCAAGAAAAGGAAGGTGGCCCTTGAACCTGAGACGTGGAGATAGATAGCTTTGGACAATAGGAATTTTTATTTCCTATCAATTTCTCCCAAGCCCCCACTTTGCTGGACGCTTCCTTTTTGTGCACCCAGAACCTCGAATGCTCCCTTTCAAACCAGATGACAATCCAAAGCACTTACATCTGATTCGGTTGGTGAATTGGCCAAAGGTCTGAATAGAGATGGCTTCCTGCTCAATTTGTCATTTTTAAACTTAATTCATCCCCAGACAATGGAAGGGCATTGATGGGCAGGATGGCAAGAATGGTAAAAGCAGATGTCTTACCTCTTCATCATCACACATTGGAAACTGAGTAATATTGATGACGGGGGTGGTATTTGTGGAGGACTTATTCTGTGACAGTCCTGGCTCTAAACCCTTTGCAGGTGCTCACAGCATCGGCCACCAGCGGCCATTGCACCCAAGGGACTTCTTGCTTCCTGTTCTCTCTTTGGCAGTTAGGTGAAGTGGTGGGCGTGTCTCCAACTCTTGGTTTTAGGGTAGCCTGTGTGCAGCCTGCCTGAGCTACTGAGATTCCCAGGTTAGCTCCCTCATAGAAGAATTTGAAAGTTGCAAGCAAGCACTTCTCTTGGGCTCAGCTTTGACTGGCCAAAGGGACTAAGCCAGCCTCCAAAGGATGTGTCATGTGCCTTCCTGACCAACTTTACGTTGGATTTACACAGTGTAACTTACCCACTGGATTCTCCCGACTGCCTCATGGTCTATTTTCATGAAGAGTTGCTCTATTTGTCCAGTACTCTGGGGAGGAAAAAAATAGGTTTATAGACTTCTCTAGATTATTAGAAAAAGATGTGCTGATATGGCAGACAACACCATGAACACAGGTTTAATGAGGTTTTTGGAATGTGTCTAAATAATCCCTTTCACCCCGAGGGATGGTCTCATAAGAGCTTGAAAGCAGAGATGGGACAGAAAACAGAAAGCTCATGGTGATAGCCACCACAGACTGCATACAGCCTGCCTGTCCAGATCACAGTGGAGCCTGGGAGATCTTGAGTGTGTTCAAGGGTCCCTCCCGGGCTCTGGATGAGGCAGAAACATAGCTGTGCAGCATTGTGAGTCATGTTGTAAGGATGTGGGCTAGCAAGATTCACCCTGCTACCCTGTAGCTGTACCAGGAGTGACCCAGCCTGAGGAAGCTGGGATCAGCCCAGGGTTGGGGTACACATGTTACTGAATGAGTAGGCCCGATCTCGTGGGCCACTGAGGGGCATTGAGCTCCCCCCTTCATATTAGTCAACTCACTGAGAAACCCCACAGTGAGCACCGAGGGTGTGGCAAACCCTGGGAGAGGTCAGGGCATCAGAGCTGACAGATGGAGGAGTAAAAGCCTGTGTCTCACAGGGGCCTGGCTGGGTGACGGCTTTCTGTCATTGCAGTTAGAACGGAACCAACACATGGACCACACACGAAAGATTTTCCTCATGACATGAGTTACAAATGATAAAGGACAAGCTGTTTGGACTCTGTCAAGATTTCATAATGGTCTCTCATCATACAAGAACACTCAGCTTGAAGCTCCAAGATGTGGGCTAGAGGCTGGCTCAGTGGTTGAGGGTGCTTGCTGCTCTTCTAAAGGACCCAAGTTCAGGTCCAAGCAGCCACGTCGGGTGGCTCACAACCACCTATAACTCCAGCTCCAGGGGATCCAATACCATCTTCTGACTGCCTTGGTCACTGCACACACACACACACAAAATGAGAGAGAGAGAGAGAGAGAGAGAGAGAGAGAGAGAGAGAGAGAGAGAGAGAGAGAGAGAGAGAGAGAGAGAGAGAAGGAGGGAAGGAGGGAGGGAGGGAAGGAGGAAACTTGGGAATATGGTTGTCGTACACAGGGAGAATTCAAGACAGATATTGCACTGTCTACAGCCATTTATGCCGAGTGAAATGTGGCCCGGAACATTATGAAGGAGCCATGAAGCCCTTTGCCACTTATTTACAAAGAGTTATTGATTTCTGACTGTCTACTCACATGGCCTCAGGGTCTCTGTGTGTTTTATTCCATCAGACCCCAGAGTGGCAGAGCAGCCCCTGTTCAGGAGGCATCTCCCTCCCACTTCACCACAGAAAGAGAGGCTTACAGCGGCTGAGTCACTCCCCTGAAGTCCCTGGCTTAGAAACAGACTTGGGTGAAACAGCCCTTAGTGCCTCCAGCCCCGGATCTTAGAGCTTCGTGTTGAATTTTCGTCTGTAACCAGAGACTGTTATGAAACCTTGACGGACAGTACCTCACCAGCGTGTCCTTTTTCGTGTATAACTGTCGTCGTGAGTAAAATCTTAGGTGCGTAGCGTGTGTGCGAGTACATGTTCAGGTGTGCAAGCACACGTCTGCACATGCGTACAGAGGGTTGACACCAGGCATCTTCCTCTATGGCTGTCCACCTTATTTTTCAAGACTGTCTCTCACAGAGCCTGAAGTTCACAAATCCAGCGAGACTGGCTGGCCATCAGGCTCCCGGCATCCCTGCTCCTGCCCCCGGTCTCCCCCCATCCTGCACACACACACACACACACACACACACACACACACACACACTCCGTCACCTCCAGCGCTGGAGCTACAGATGAGTGCCACTACACCAGCTCATTACTTGTATGGCAGGGAGCTGAACTCAGACCCTATGCTTCTGCAGCAAGCACTTTACCAACTGAAGATTCCCCCGGGCCCCTAAAGTCTTGCTCACTAAGACTTTATACTCTAGTGAGTTGCCCAGGCTTCAGAGAATCACCCCACCCATGCTCATGGAAGCAATCCTAATTAAATTCAGGGGGCCACCAAACCGAAAACCCAAAAAACCAAACCAAACAACAAAGCCGTGAAAGCAGGAGGGAGCTGCCGGGAACAGGAAGGGTTTAGTAGGCATAGAGGAGGGGTAAGGCAGGTGCGAAAAACGACCAAAATGCATTATATACATTCTATGTGTGTATGATTGTCAAAGAATACAAAAGAAAATTAAAAAAAAATAAAATAAGAAAAATGTTAGTATTCTGAGCTAGCCAAGATGGCAGCTAATGAGTAAACTATTGGACTCCAGCTGTCAGGGGGGTGGAGGAAGACCTAAGAGAAATTAAGTGGTTGTCTTTGGAATAAAAGCATATATATAATTAAGCAATAACCTAATAAGAGTCTTGTTCTCCTCCTAAGAAAAGGCCCTACATGTCTCATTGCTGTAGTCTACGCAGTAGTTTAAAACCCTCCCCAAGGTAGCTGTCCAGTAAATCAGCCAGGTTTTAGTAGAGAGGAGCATCATTTACAGAGATGCCGGGATATAGTTGGCGTGTGTGGTTACACCACTAACTGCGCTCTCCTTGATCCGATGTTTATAAAACCCACTTACGTGGCCATGCGACCTCATACTCTGCTTTATTACGCATTTGAACGTTTCCATATCCAGCAGATGTCTTCCTTTCTTTCCATGTTCCTACAAGTAAAATAAAAAGAAAGATAAACACTTGGCTGAGAACTTACAGACATTGTGTTTTGTTAAGTCTAGGAGTGAAAGTCCAAAGAGTTGAATGTCTAATTAGACTCACCTAAGACTGCTGATTTCTCATGGGATTTTTGTTTTGTGCACTTTTTTGAATCAGTCAAAAATTAAACAATTAAAATAAAAACAAATTAAATGGTGAAAAGAAAAGCAATGTGTTTTTAATTCCGTTAAGAAGTGACAACCAAAAAGTTATTCTTCGTGGTTATTTTTTTAGAAATTTTAAAAGTCTGTACTTTGTAGTGAAATATCAAGTACCAAGAAAAGAATCAAATCACCCAGATAGGTGTTTGAAAGTTTATCTGGCTTGTACCTACCTGAAAGAGTGTGTGTACGTGTTGGAGCTCATCCAGGGTCACTTGATGCTCAACCTCATCAAAACAAAAGACAACAAATTACGGCCAATAACGCAAAGAATAATACCCATTAAATGGAATTTCTCGTCACTGGTAATTTATTTTCCCATAAAGCCCGTGACAGGAGGTGGTGGTGCACGCCTTTAATCCCAACACTTGGGAGGCAGAGCCAGGAGGATCTCTGTGAGTTTGAGGCCAGCCTGGTCTACAAAGCAAGTTCCAGGAAAGGCTCCAAAGCTACACAGAGAAACCCTGTCTCGAAAAACAAACAAACAAACAAAGCCCATGACAGAGCTGAGCAACCCAGTTGTTGGAATTTCTGTGTTCGGAGCCTCTGCTGGTCCTGTTCAGCGCCCATCCCCAGATTCTGACATCAGGTGGGCTGGGCTGGGCTGGGATGGTAGAGAAAGAGGACGTGAGAGAGGATGAGGGTAGGTACCAACTTGGAGGAAATAAAAGAAGGGAAGAGACCGGAAGCTGGACCGGAAGGAGAAAAGGGAGAGGGAGACTACTTTGCCTTGATTCTAAAGACCCTGTTCAGTGACCAGACCCCGGCCCAGGACCCCTGTGCCTTCCAGCTTCAGGGCTGCCGGGGATGTTCTGGGGAACGAGTCTCTCCATCTTTTCCTGGGCTGAACGTTTTGGCGGGAAAGAGGCAGGTTCTCTCTTAGTCCACCCCCCTCAGCTCAGTACACAGATCACCAGCGTACATTTCTCACTCCCAGTCTCTTATCTGCTATATCAAAATTTTGTCTTTTTATCCGTACAAGTCCCCAAACTTCTGACTTAGAGTGAAAGGCAGTGAGTAGGGATGAGTTCAATTGCAGAGTGACCTATGATAGACAGAGACGGAGAAACTGGCATTTCTAGGGAGCAAATTCAGTGTTTTCATCAATCAGACTTTGCTCGGGATCCACAACAGATGATGCAACTTTCCCAGGCTCGTGGACCATACAAATGAGAAAGTATGTCAGCTGAGCTTTCACAGGAAAGCCTCGGGAGGACCAGGTAACTACAGGTTTGTACAAAGCGATTAGATAGATAGATAGATAGATAGATAGATAGATAGATAGATAGATAGATAGATAGATGGATAGAGATAAATAGATGATAGGTAAATAGATAGATGATAGATAGATAGATGATACATAGATAATATAGATAGATAAATAGATGATAGATAAATAGATCCATAGATGATAGATAGATGATAGATAAATAGATGATAGAAAATAGATGATAGATAAATAGATAATAGATAGATGATAAATAGATACATAGATGATAGATAGATAAGTAGACGATAGATAAATAGATAGATGATAGATAGATAGATAGATAAATAGATAATAGATAAATGATAAATAGATACATAGATGATAGATAGATAAATAGACGATAGATAAATAGATGATAGATAGATAGATAGATAGATAGATAGATAGATAGATAGATAGATAGATAGATAGATAGACAGATAGATAACATATATTTTGAAATGGCTGGGCATGTTGGTGCATACCTATAATCCCAGCTTTTCAACTGACTAAGGCAGGAGGATCATTTGAGCCCAAGAGTTCAAAGCCACACTCAGCAACACAAACAGACCCTGTTTTAGAAGGAAAAGCCCAGAGTGCCCACGTGTTAACATGGGCCTCCATCTTTCTACTGCCCGGAGAAAGTTTTTCTCTGTCTTAATGTTCCTGAAATTTTACTTTGTCATAAAATAGGTAGAGAATTGGTCTTTCACATTCCTGGACCTCCATTCTGGAATAAACCAATTAACAATAGCAACAAAATATTGCCCGATACTGAGGGCTCCCCAATCCGGAAAGACACAGACTTCTATTTGCTCTGTGAATGTACTGGAAATACTGCTGAGAGAGCGGAGTGAAGGCCTTCATTCATAACGGTAACAAAGGATGCGCAAGCCAGTGTGGTTGTATAATTGATAAAGGCCTCCACGGTAATTTTCATTTATGAGTATGACGTGACCCTCCCCAGCTACTCCCCAGAGCCAGACCCTGAGAACACAGCCTTCTCCCAGCCACCTCCAGTATCCAAGCAGGATACACTGGCAGCCTTTTTTGGTGCCGGGCAGGGTGTGCCTCGTACCCTGCTGGTGTTTCTGTACCTTTACCTCCTGACTATGCGTGGCACACAAACCTTCCTGCCTGCTTCTCCACCTTCCGTGAAAGGAAGGGACAGAGTGCAGCTAGAGAAGGCTTATCAGTTCTTGTCAGACCCTGTTATCTGAGTCCCCGTTGCCCTTAAGGAAGCCATCTTTAGCTCTCGGAGACCTCATCAAATTTTCATCTGGGACCAAGGAAAGTGGAAACCCGAGGGATTGTTAGCCAAGTTCTTGGGGGGGGGGGGGGGCAGGGGAGCAGCAATAAACATACGTTTTTAGAAAAACACTGCAACAAAACAGCGCCATTATTGTGCTGTTCCTTGAAAATATAAATCAGGCTTTCCTGTAATTGCACGTTTTTAAGGCATATTTGGAACACGAGTCAGAGAAAACATATGTCCCTTCTGGGTGCTCCTGTGCTTGGCAGGGCTTAAAACTTCCTAACTGCCATCGCCATCGAGTCACATTCCATCACTAAGATACTTGAATGACGTGTTTTCCTACAAATAAAACACAGAGGGGAATGGCTGACTGTTTTACATCCAAACTATCGTGGCTATACAGTGATAATCATAAACAAGTCAGTCTGCAGTCACGGATTGGACTTTTAAAGACACCAGCCACTGCCAAGCATTGCATTTGCTCCATTCAAATGCAATTTCGTGGAAAATTTACCTGGATCCTCCCCTTGCAGGCCCTATTAGAGGGAGTTGGAGGAGCCGCGATTCTGCTTGTCCACACGTGGCAGTCTCCCCAAGGCAAGCGGGCTGATGAATAGAGTGGTTTTCCCAGAAGGGTTCATTTGCCTGCTGGTTGCTCATTTACATTGCAAATGAGCTCTTCTATTGTTAACAGCCCAGCATCATTTTGCTTCTTGCAGTAAGAGTCTCCTCCGCCAGTGTGGTTTAGAGATAATTTCTCTTCTAGACAGGGGAATTGACTAATTAATCGAATAAAGTATCCCTTTGAAAATCTATTTCTTCCTACTGGGCCTTCCCGCTTCCTGCCTCTGTCTCAGGATAGAGTCCCTTTTGAAAATTAAGCATTATAGGAAAGAGAGGAGGGGGATGGATGGATGGATGGATGGATGGATGGATGGACGGATGGATGGATGGATGGACGGATAGAAAGAAGAAAGACAGTCAGGCCAGCCTATATCATGAGTGGCTGTCCCTACAATTTCAGAAAATGACATGACCTAGCAGTCCTGAGAGTCTTAGAGAGAAAGATGATTCCAGAAGGGCAGGGAGACAGGTCCTGAAGGGAATTAGCTTCATGGAATTATGATTATTTCTATAAACTGGATCTGAAGCATATCTCAAAGGCCCAGGTATTAGTCTTAGTCCCAAGCCTATGGCATTCTTGGGAGGTGGTGGGGCATTTAAGGGGTGGCGTCAGGTGGGAGGAAGTTAAGACATTAGGAGAATTGTCTTGAAAGGAATGTTGAGCATCTGGTCTTCCTTTGCCTCTCAGCCACCCTGAGGTGACTGGGACTCCTCTGCCAGATGCCCTCTCTACAGTGGACTGGGATGCCACAGACTCAAAGCAACAGGCAGGGTCCATTTACCATGGACTGAAACTTCTGACCATGTGAGCCAAAATAAACCTTTCTTCCTTTTAAGATGCTTACCTTGGGTACTTTGTCACAGCAATGGAAAGCTAGTACAATTGTGAAAACACTTTTTTCTTTAAAAAAAAAAAAAGAAGCCGGGCGGTGGTGGCGCACGCCTTTAATCCCAGCACTCGGGAGGCAGAGCCAGGCGGATCTCTGTGAGTTCGAGGCCAGCCTGGGCTACCAAGTGAGTCCCAGGAAAAGGCGCAAAGCTACACAGAGAAACCCTGTCTCGAAAAACCAAAAAAAAAAAAAAAAAAAAAAGAAAAGAAATCATCATATGAGTGAGGGAAAAAGGTAACGTCTGGTCTGGGAGATTGTGTCAAGGCCTCTCAGAATCACAAGGATATGAGGTCTTTTTTTATTTTTTATTTTATTTTTTTTTCCCCACCCCGAGATCTTTTTTTTTAAAAAAAAAAAAAAAAAGAGTGTCTTGAGGGCCAGAGAGGTGGCTCAGTGGTTAAGAGCACTTGCTGCTTTTACAGAGGACCTGAGTTTGATTCCCAGAACCCACATCACAGCTCACAAACATTTTTAACTCCAGTTCTAGGAGATCCAGAAGGCACATGCATGGTACACACACATGCATGCTTACGAAGCATTCATACACATAAAATAAAAATTTTTTAAAAAATTAAAAATAAAAAAAGACTGCCTTGCTTTAGGAAGGTTGAAATTGGAGGGTTGGGTGTTCAAGACCAGCCTGGGCCACACAGAAACAAACAAACAATTCAAAAAACTTAAGCCCAAATCATCTTTTTTCTTTTTACCAGGTGTCAGAAGATGAGGAAAGGGACTTCAAGGCTAAAATAATTCACACAGGCTCAGGCCCCCCTCTGCTACTCTCTGATCCATTGCTGAGATTCTCGTGCGTCACACGCTAAGCGTATTCCGTGATCGTGGCAATTGCTAGCATATCTGGCCTCCAGTTCACGTCACCACTGCAAAACACTCCCAAGAGGGGTCTGCCAGAGGAAGAGACACACATGCAGCAGGCCAAATCGCCCCAGTCACCCTGCCACACTCATCTGAGGTCAGCCCGTGTAGCTTTGCTGTTTCCCGAACATGTGAGCCAGCCACGCACTGGGCACAGAGCTCTCTGATGGACGCAGGCATGGGAGAAGCCAGAGCTTCTGGTGCCCTTGAGAGTCTGTGGTTGTTAGACAGCATTACCAGGCAACAGATAGCTGATACACCATCTCTTAATGCATGCCAATACTTGGCTGCATCATAGACCTGGAATATCACTCCCCCCGGAGGTACGTATGTGTGTACAGACACATACACACAGCATTACATACATAACATTTGTGAAGTGCATTTATCTTAACTATCTATAAGGCACTGTGCGACTTTGCTCTCATTCAATTCTGTTTTTCCTTTCCCTAAGTTGGGCTCATTATCTACTGAACTGATGTCCTAATCCCGGAGTGGCCAGGACCTGCAGTTTGGAAGTCACAGGATGCTCTATAGGAAGACTGTGCTGTGTTAGCAGGTGGGACTCAGTTACCATGGAACTCTCAGCTGTAAACAATGGGCATCGCGGGCACTTAACAAATATGTGAGAAAAGCTTACAGCTACCAGCTTCCTGGGTTTGCCTCCGGACCCCTCCCCCACCTCCAGGATCTGACCTTCCCCTTTTAAGACTTCAGAGGTACAACCATGATTGTCTCCTTCGGGGAACATTTTAGGAGTCATTATCCCTAGCTGTAACTAATGGACGAATCTTCAGTAGTGCTGGCCACGATAGTGGCTGGCTGGCTGCCCACACCATGACAGACCTGTCCCCAGAAACAAGAATGACCAGAGTCTGCAAGACTGTTTAAATGAGGCCGGAGGATGGAGTCTACTGCACATAGTGGCTCAAAAACCACCTGAGTGAATTGAAGAGATCTCATGCTTCTGACTTTTATTTTATCACCAAAGGAAGGAAATTCAATCTGATTCCTTCCACCTTTGAAAATCTAGCCCCACGGGTCACCAATCACGTCACCAACCAAACTAACAGACTGCAGAAGAGGACACCATGGCCTGGATAGGATCCTTTTACCGGAGGATCCCAGTGTGGCAATGTTAGGCTGTGGGACCTTTAAGAGGCGGGGCCTAGTGGAAAATAAGGAGGTGGAGGGGTGCTCACGTGATTTGGTTAGTTCTAGAGCGAGAGGAATCAGCTCTTCTGCACGCTGCCTGCGCTTCTGCCCTGTCGTGGTAGAAGGCAACCAGCTTGGTCCTCTCCGGACACAGCGAGGGCTCTGGTGTCATAGGAATCACGAGCCACACAACCCTCTTTGTATACTGCACAGCGTCAGGTGTTTTGTTACAGCATCACAAGCTGCCTGGGACAGTAGAATGCCATGTTGTGCGTGCCTCAGCCAGGGATGGTCGCTGTGTGTGCCTCAGCCAGGGATGGTCGCTGTGTGTGCCTCAGCCAGGGATGGTCGCCGCCCTGACAGCTCTCCCACCAGCTGTGACAGATAGTCCAGTTGCCGACCACACTTCCGGCTGTTTAGCTACTCAGCCTTGCTGAACAATGACAGTGTCTTCAAAGGCCTGAGAGAGAACCCTCTAGAAATTCCTTGGGAGCCAGATGTGGGGAAGGGTGAAGTGCAATATGAAGAAGCTGGCCTAGGGCGGTGGGAACAAGTGTGGGCTCCTCAGAGATGAACGGAATCCGATGTTTCTAGTCATAAGCCGGGGCCGGTTCACACGTGGGTAGGTCCTAGTTATAAACCCGGGCCGGGTCCTCCAGCCCACTTTCATCCTGGGCTCTTTGCTGCCATCTGTCAGTGGAGACATGAGTCTGACGATATTTTCATTTCCTACATCCAAAGCCAACATTCTGCCCTATGAACAACTCCGGCTCTTGTCTGTTCTAACATAAAATTGAAATAGCTCCTGCGGGCTTGTTTTCCCACAGTGGATTTAAATCCGTGCCATTTTTAGGCTGTCTCTCTTGCAATGATATCATCCCACAGCCCCGACACTCTCGACTATGTGCTGGCTCCCACACCCCCACACTGGGAATTTCTGATCCTATCATATTTCTGACATGGCTAAAAAAAAAAATAAAACTCATTGTGGCTATAAGCAAAATGTCTCAGGGAAGTACAGTCCACAGCCAAATGGCATTCCATCCCTCAGTTATGCCTGAATGGTTCTGTATTCACAGGGATTCATCTTTCTCTTTAGAAACCTCCTCTAATTCTTTTCAGGTGAACCCAGGGGTAGAATCACTGGCTCTTGTGGCATTTCTCATCTTAGCTTTTTAAAGGACCCCCCTCCCGTCCCCCCATGAAACCACCATCCCAAAGATGAGTTGGTTCTAGCGATCTGCTGTGTAGCATGGCATAGTGGCCAGAACCATACTGGACTGTGCACCTAAAAATTTACCAAATTGGAGGGCCTCTAGCTGGAGACAGCTTGGTTGGTAGAATGCCCCCTATCATGTATGGGGCCCTGGGTTTGATCTCCAGCATCTCATAAACTGGGTGTGGTAGCACATGCCTGTAATCTCGGCACAAAAGATGGGAGACAGAAGAATCAGACATTCAAGGTTATCCTGGGTTACATAGGGAATTTGGGGACAGCCAGAGCTACATGAAGCCTTTTCTTAAAAACAAACCAACAAATAAACAAATGAAGTGAGACCCTTGTAAGTAAATGTTCCTAACCCATACACAGAAGGGTCACGGGGGACTTTTAGGGCTAATGGATGTCAGTTACCCTGACTGTGGGGACAGTTTCACAGGCCTCAGCTTATGTTCAAATGTGTATGCCAGACATGTGCAGTGTATTGTACACAAATCACACCACAGTAAAGCTGTTTGGAGAGAGGGGGACCATGAATGGCAGCTGTATGAGCCAACTGGAGAGACGACCACAGATTCCCAGGAGACCCACTGTGGCTGGGAGTCTCAGCATGAGGCAATGGATCCCAGGTGTTTTCACCGTGTCCATTTCACACCCTGACTCGGCACTCACGTAGAGAGCCAGAGTCCCATGATGCACTGCCTATGCTTATGCTGGAAGACACTCGGATGTTACCTACCATGTGGAATTATTTTTGATGGCCGCCATAACCCAGCCCATCAATTTCCTGACCCACTGATCTTACCCACAGTTTGATGACCCTGCCCACAAGGAAGCCCCTCTAGTTATACTGTCCCTTATGCCCACAGCAGGAAAAGTTAACCCAGTGCCTACCGCCTTCCCTCTCCAGTCTCACCTTCAACACAGGACCCATTTCTGCTCCTCAGCTGCTGTG